TATTAAGTTATATTATTTCTGAAAGATATTAAGTACTTAATGATTTGAAATAAAGAAAAATTCACCAAGGATGAGTACAAAGTTCTACTTAGAGTAATCAGCTGTAAAAACAGTATGGTAAAGTCCTTCCTGTATGGCATTTCTGCAGAGAAGGCTCTCATTGTGAAGAAGGACTTGAAAACTGTAAATGGTATTAATTACAATAATGATGTTGTGTCACTGCAGAAACCCTGTGCGCATTGAGGGATGTGTGTACTTTCATATTTTCTGTATATACATTATACATTTACTTACGTTAAAATGTAGGTGTATATAAAGGTATTATGTAAAGCATATTAAGAATAATATTCTAACTCTGGTGCTAAGATCTCCTCTGTAGTACTATATTCAGGTTTTCTTCATAATGGTGTGAGCTACAAAGGATTCATCCAAAGCAACATCAAAGTTGACCAGACAGCTAGAAAACCTTGCCTCTGAGGAATAAAAAAAATTACAAATTTGATGTCTCTTAGCTCAGAAAATAGAGGGGTGCAACCCTTAAACAGAGAAAATATATTGATAAGGAAAAGAAATTTTTTTTCTGTCAGCTGGAGTCTGGGCTTAAGCAGCCCAAGTTGCCTGAAACATTTGATTAGACAGAAAAAAGAACTCCTAAATAGGTAGAGAAATTCAAGCATTGGAATAAGTCACCTGCAAAAGCTGTGAAGTCCTCATCACTGTAGAATTAAAAGAAGAAATTAAACTGGTTTTGAAACATGATATTGAGAAAACTGTTTTTGTCTTAGAGCAGCAGAATACAATATATTGGCTCCTAGTCCTGATATCTGCTATCAACTGAGCATTCAGTTGTCGCTAAAAAAATTAGTTTAAGTTGAATCTGCATGCTGACCCTCAGTAATGATGTCATACCTGATAAGGAGAATGGTAGCTTCTTATGAGTCGGATTCTGGCCAAATGTATTCAATTTAATGAAGACAGTTAAATGACTAGCTCTGTTACAGGGCATCAAATTCCAACACAGAAGTAGTAAGCATGGAATTAGAAGGCTACTATGGGTTGCACAAGTTTTAAGCTGAAGGGGAACAGGCTGTTTCCTGTTTGTAAAGGGAATTTCCAGGGAGTATCTGTAAAATACTCATGAAATATTTTATTTAGTTGTAGTTCCTTCTAGCCATTTTAAGGTTATCTTGCAGTACTGCACCTCGCATGTGGGGCAGATGCATTGACTTACAGCTTTTTCATTTCAGTCACTAAACCCTACCCATGTACTTCCACATGTATCTGCATATTTCTTACATGTCTCTGTGTTTTATCAAGGTCTTTGAAACCTTGAGACCTTAAGAACATAAGTTCCCTCACTTTTCAGATCACATGTTGTCTTAATCTTTGCAGACATTTATAGCACCAGCCTCGCACCATGTTCTTTAAACTACTAGAAAAAAATGCAGAAGTCTTGAAGAATTCTGTGTAGCACATCAGAATAGCAGCCCACGACTTTCAGCTTTGCACTTAACTTCTGGCAGTTGCTTGATACTTTCTTGCGCTGTGTTGTTTTCTGCATTTTGATAACCACTGAAAGACTTAAGGGAGTTTACAAGAAGTTATTCGTGTTCTTCGTAGCTTAGTCACTGATCATGTGATGTCAGTGCTCCGTGATTCACTTCTGATTCATTTCAAATTGTACTCTAGGTGATACAGTTGGAACCTGCTTATGAAATAATGACGGTGCTTATGAAATAAGGGCCTCTTAGACCTAGAAAAGCTAGCATCTCTTTCCTGTAAAATTCAGTTTGGTTAAGACATCCTTGGCATTCTTACTACGGCCTTATCATTGCATTCATGCATCAGAGGGAAGGTCTCAGTGCAGCGATTTTCTCTGCTGAACGTATTCTTTCTGTTAAGTATATTTACCACAGGCTCGTGGCCATCAGGACCTGGTGGAAAGCAGGTAGTTTGCTCTTAAAGCCTTGCTTACTGACTTTTGAGCAACTTGTTTCTCTATAGCATTCAAGGACCTAGAGATACTTAAGCTATTTCTAAATCTAAATCTAGAAAGATTAGGAGGAGTCACTCATTGGATCATGCAATAGAGTGGCTCATGGGTCTAAATGAGAAGGTTCTTACCCTTGTGTGTTCTGAGTCTCACATAAGAAATTTGTAATTTTGTAATTGTAGTTTTAGTGGCTTTGTTCTACTACATGGATCATAAAATACTTATCATTAACTGTCATTGTGCTTTCACTCGTGGAGTTAAATGCTGGAAAAGTACATTCAACTTCTGCTTTCTTTTTTGTTTCAGAGTATATTTATTAAAAATCTTAATACAATAAGGGAATTTGCAGGAGAAAAACATGCAGCAAATAACCAGTTGTTTATTTGTATTTTGCTGCAGTGAGACAAAGCTAAGGCTTTTGCAGTAATTTGCAGCTTTCTTTAATGTAAACTGACTAACTGAAACACACCCATCCCACTTTAGTTAGTATTCACTCGGTGGTTTTGCTCAGTAGGCTGTGTGGTTAGGAGCAGGTATACAAACGGAAATAAAAAGGAGTTTTAAAACAAACTGCTAAGGGTTCAGGAGAGTGCTGCAGAGGCACTCAGAGGCACACTTGCAGCACAGTCAGGCCAGCCCTCTTACTGGCTCCACCATTTGTACAAGATGCTTTCCCATTGTAAATTGTGTGCTGGTACAGTTCTTCCATGCAGGCTTGCTGTTCAGTGCTCAGCTGTACAGGGAACATTTAGATTTCTTTCTGCAGAGTGTTTTTTTTTATTTTGTTTTTTAAGCCACCACAAATACAATGGGTTTTTTTTTGTGAAGGCAAGCCTTTTAGTTGGAGGAGAGAACAGATAGCTCCAAACCTAGTATTGATTTAATGTGTGCAAAATAATTGCATGCCATTGTAATGAAGCGTATCTCTGTTGCAAGATAATTAGGTCTGGATGTGGTGAAGCATAAATACACTTTAATTATGCAGAAAAACACCATAAATGTGTTGACTTAATTACTAACAGTAGGCAGAACATACTGTTTTTCTCTGTACCTTTGTGACATGAAAAGGCTAAATGGAAGAGAGACCTTCTAGAAAACAAAAATTCAAATGGGAACCTGTGGCCAAGTGATACCTGTGTTATGATGTAGCAGAGGATTTTGCACACAATGAAATGCACATAATGAAAGTGCTAAGGGAGAGAGAGTGTTATTTTTGGTCTTTATTGTCTGGAAATTATCTATATTGAGCACTTACAAGAAGCTGTATGTTCTTAAGAGTATGTGTGCACATATCCATTTGGCTTCCAAGTAAAGCATATACTGAACTGTTTTCCTGATTAAACAGAAGCTAGTGGATGGAACTGCTGGCAGAACACCAAGTTTTGGCAAAGGAAGAAAATGGATACAGGCCTCTGTTTGCAAGGCCTAAAATAATTTTACTCTTCGTGAAGACACTCAAAGGGTACAAAATGCCTACTACTAAAGGCTTGATTAAGTATTTATTCTTGATGTTCCAGCCTTCCTCTGCAAATTTCCCACTTCTCTAGCTGAATAACTTGCTGGTTTGCCCTCAGTGCTCATGCTGTAATACCTAGGCAGTTTGTATCTCAGAAGGATTCTTTCAGTAAGGAATGAAATTTTGTGTGGACACAAACAAGGAACACATAAACTTTGGTTCATGCTGCAAAACAGAACTCGCAGCATAAGTCAAAAGGCAGATCAAGAACTTCCTGTTCCTTGGCGTCTATGCTGCTCTCATTCATGGGGCTGTAGGACAAGCAGACCTTCCCCTTGCCCACACCACTGAAGGTGGATACATTTGGTATCTTCTTGTAGAAGTGCATGGAAATTCTCACCCTAATGTGACTAATGTGGATTATCTTGTTTTGCAAATGGGCTATGTTTAAAGTGGTGTGCAAGTTGAAGTGCCTTCTCCCTCCCTTCCCTAGCCGTAGATGTCATTTCATATGCTGGAAATCTGCTGTTTCACATCCCTCTTCCATTTTGTCATATTATGATTTGCTTCTCTGTCTTGTTCCTGCTACTGCTTTTTAAAGAGAGAACTACATTTATTCCCATAGAGGTTGATCTATTTAAAAATTATTTGAGAAGATAAATTTTCTTTTGTATTTGAAAGGGCGTCAAATTCCAATTCAAGCAGGTTATGCTCTCTTATGACTGGCTGAGGGAGAACATTGTCAGTTAATATTTACAAACACTTCCGCTACTGTTTGTTGCAGAAATGGAAACTTTTTATAGTGCTCTGCCACATTTCATGCCCTTGATCTTTTTGACAGATGGAAAAAGAAAACGCACAAGATCCAGAAGACAGATGTAGGCTAAAGGCCCTGTGCTGAAATCCCTGTAGTGCATAGTTCAAGTTGATGTGCAGTACTTTTAGGTTCAGCACAGGGAGTATGCACAGGTTCACCTCTGGGTTTCTAGCATATGTTGTATCTCATTCTGTGTGCATCCATGCACATTTGTGATCCTATTCTGTGTGTGCACTTTGGTGTTATGTGTGTCATCTGTACAAAAAGGCTCACAAACAATTGAGAATATTGCTGTTCTGTTTGGTAAGTAGTTATGCCAGTGACTGGCTGAGATGGATCAGTAACTGAACGACTTTGCTCTGCAGTTCAATGATTTGTTTCCAAGTTTATATTCATATGCCTAAAACTAAGCATTTAAGTGCATTTCTGAACTTAGATAATCATGTAGAATTATCTGGGTATTCTGATTACTTTTGAGACACATCTGCTTTTTTGTTTGCCTTTTTTTTTCTTATTTTTTAAGGGTCTTCCAAACACAATAGTGAAATATAATAGTTGTTATGTGGCTCTCACCAGAAAAATTATGCACTTTCTAAATTAGTAGGTTACTGCTATCTTTGAAGTAGCATACATGAACAAACCTGATTAGAATCAGGATTCTGAAAAAGCTCGTTGAAAATTGTTTATGAAGGTATAGCACGATTTCAATATGAATAATCCTTTTTGTTTTTTAGATTTAGAAGGAAATGCATGTCAAAACAACCAGCTGCTAAAAATAATTCTGGCAATGCATCAGTTTTTCATCTCCTCTGCAGACATGCTTCAGAAACTCGTTGATCTATATCCTTTGTAATTTTCACCTGCTTTTAAGGTAACTTCATAGCCTGACAAGTTTGAGAGGGGTAAGTAGAGGATATTTAATCTATGGGTGCATTAGTATTCACCAATTAATCTGTATACTTGTTCTTTACAGTTTTTAGTTGTATGGTGTGCTTTTGTTTGGTTTGGGGTTGGCGTTTTTTGTTTGTCGGGTTTTGCTTGTTGTACACAGAGGAAAAGAGGAAACTCCAAGTCAGGTTTTAAATAGGATAAATCACCCTCTGTTGGCTGGGAAGGGAATATCTAGCAGGTGTTAAATGAATGGAGGCATCTCAGTTAGGTACTGTGAACCTTGGCCTAAGTTTCAGATCTGTTTCTTTCTCTGTCCACTACCAAGTCAAAGAGCAAAGAACAAAACTGTATCATCGGGGTGTGAAAATTTTCAATGAAAATTATTTCTCTCACACACACTGAAAATTGCTGAAATAAGTAATTTTCATTTCCTTTTCCTTTCTATTTGTTCCCATTTTGAATTGGCTGCCTGGACTCATATATGTTTCTGGCTCATTGGATTTTTCACGATGTAGCTACTAGATCATATTTGCAATGCTAGTCGTTCTTTGGAATTTTTAATTGTGGAATATGTTACCTGTCTTCTTAGCTTTACAAAACCTTTATTCCTAATTGGATGTACAGGATGGAGACCTGTCATGCTAAGAATCTCCATCCAATTTTGGTACAGTTCAATTTAATAATCCTTTCTTTCTTCAAACTCTGTATCTTCTGGGCATTTACAAGCAGCATCCTTGACAACAGAGCTTTACTGGAGCATTGACTGTCTGTCTGCAGCAGGACTGTCCTGCTGCTTCTCTAATGGCAGATGCTGGATCAAGTGTGCTAAGCTACAGCTGTGGTGTAGTGTTGCATTTCACTTAGGCTCCTGGGCTCTTGGAAAATGCAACAAAGAAGAAGTCAGTGCCTTCATCTTCTTTCTGAGATGGAACGTTTTCTACAACCAGAAAAGCAATTCAAACTTTTATTAGACTTGCATATTTTGCAAGCTTGGTTTTCAACTCGGTGTGTAGCTCCCTGTAAAGACATTGAAAGTTAAAGACAGTTTGAATGGATCAGGTAGTCTGGGCTCTTATATTTTGCAAAATCTTGCAAGTGTTCCAGTTGCACCGTTTCCATCCCCTAAATTACAGGAGTGATTTCAGGTGGTTACAAGTTCTTTGTAAATAATCTAATTCTAATCATTCAGAGAGGGGCCCTTAAAAATATTTGGGAATGTACTCAGACTTCACCAGTCCTGTAGTCAGCGTAGTGTAAGCGTGCTGAAAGGGTGGATGGCATGTCCCCTCAGCTGTGGTAGATGTAGGCTGCAGTTAATTGCAGTCGGATTGTCAGTGCATCCACGAGATATTTTCATTAAATTATGTTTTTCAGGCCTGAAAACACATGTGTCACCTCCATCAGAAGAATCAAGACATGCATAATACATTTTTCAAAATGGATTTTCCATTACTTCAGCAGACATTGGCTACAATATCAAAACATGTTTTAAAGAGCTAATAGACTGAAAATATGGTTGTTTCTTTCAGTTGCCAGAGCAAATTAAATGAAAACTGTTGTGTAACTAGAAAGGTGAGGTTACTATGGCAAGCCATGTTAAATTTTGCTCTGCCATTGTCTACAACTGGTTATGTTTAAAAGAAGAAAAGTTTTTAGTTTTTTTTTTTAATTTACAGTGAATTAGCTGAAAAGGATTGCTTCATAAATGCATTGATTGATAAATTTGGTATGAATATTTCAAATTTTAATGGCATGTGTCATTGCACAAGTTTTACAAGAAATTGTGAGGCATGTTGCAAAGAAACATGTAGAAAACAGAATCCCTTTACTGGTTAACACTACTCGGTACTCTGGCAACAGCACCAATATTACTCATAGTAGCCATAGTTGCAATAAACTGTGGTAACAACCTTGGGATATACTTTGTATATACTTATGTAAAAGCCTAATCTGATATAATATTTGCCATCCAGCAAGATGGTTCTTATTGCTTACAGGTTTGGAAGTATCAAGCATGTTACATTTTACATCGTATGTGAATGGATGTGGTTTTCCTTAACAGTTTTCTACCTATCTTAATGCTTTAGAAAATAACTCTTCCATGCTGTGTGTGAAGATCTGCTATTTTGTGAGGTAAGTGTATTTGTGGTTGCTAGCTGTTAGTTAGTTTGCAGTCATCCGTGTGACAAATATAAATATGTTTTTGCATGTCTGAAATTACATTAAAAAGAGAAACAGATATTCTGCTTCAGCTTTTCAAGGTTCACTTTAGCAGCTCCACACAACAAGGTCCAACTGGCTTTTGGCTTAAAGCAGTGCAAGAGTTGTCAGGTCACAGTTTTGAATGGAGTCTATATGAATCTGTATCTTAAATATCTGTGAAAACTGACAGTGCTCAGGAAATGATGGAATTGTGTCTAATATTATTATATTGGTCTATTAAAAATTAAGTGGGATATTGCAGATATTTTATACTAAGCAAAGCTCTATTGCATTTTGGTAGGTAATTCTCCTTAGCAATTCTACTTGCAATGGTCCTGGAACACTTAATTTTTTTAACCTATTAAGTATAATAAAGTTTGATATCTCAATATAGAGGAAAGAGAGGAGAGGGAAAATATTCAGCTCTAATAGATTGAGGATACCTCTTTTTACACAGTAACAGTAAAGTAGAATTTGTCTTAAATTGTGATGATTTTATTGCCTCAGAGCAGATTATTATTGGTTATGTCAGCTTACTTCAGTACTGTGTGAGATCTGGTAACATTTTTGCTTGCAGGCAAATTCATACATACGTGCATCCGTAAGAATGTGCATTTCCATTTTTCCAACAAGCACAGGTTTTTACATGTATAGTGCTGGGTAGTGTGTCTGTCTGGGATGGAGTTAACTTTCTTCATAGCAGCCTCTGTAGTGCTGTGTGTTGAATCTGTGAGTAAAACTCAGCATTATTTTACCTCTTGCTGAACAGTGATGACACAGCATCAATGCCTTCTGTTTCACATCTGCCCCTGCCAGTGTGGGCTGGGGGTGAGTTTGAGGCTGGGAGGGGACACAGCTGGAGCAGCTGACCTGAACTGACCAAAGGAACATTTCAACCCATACAGGATCATACTAAATTTCAGCTGAACTAGATCAAAACCTTCAAAACCGTTTTTTAAATTTTTTCCTTTGTGTGTACATGTTTTAATTTTAATAGGTATTGGATTACAGAATTCTGGATTATGTTCAAAATGGACTCTAAGCTATCCAGAGCTATGGAGGAATTTCAAGAAGTGGTTCGAGCTAATGGTGAGGAGTTACATTGTCGTCTAATTGACACATCTCAAATGTGAGTGTCGAAGTCTCAATATATACAGAAAAAAAAACTTTTTCTCTGAATTTCCTTTATTTGAATATAATGTCTCTCATAAGTCATCTGTTATAGCTGTCCTTACAAGAATTTATACTTCATTACAGATGAACTATACATTATGTAGTGGAAAATAATGTCTTTCATGAATGACTTAGGTTGAATTTAGCTGCAGTATAGACTTTGGGCTGGTTCTCTATGACAGCTAGGTTTTACCCTGTCCAGGGAACTTAGAAAACTTGTAGGTGCCTAATGGTTTTGTGAGATCACTGAAAAAGGAGAATAAAATTTGATTGGGTAACAGATGAGGTAAAAAAGTGTGTTTATATTTTGGCAACAAAGGTAAGTGAGGATATAGTTTATTACATTGTCAGACTCTTGATATTGTTTAGATGATTTTGGTTATAAAATATTTGTTGTGACCAAAATAAATCCTAGAGCTGTACATCACAGAAGACATGTTTCCCTGTTACATGGGAGTGAGATAGTTCTGTGGAGCAGTACAACTGACAAAACAAATGTCAGTTTGTACTTTGGAAATGCACAGGCTAAAGCAGAGCAGAATTTAGCATACATTTTGGATCTGGTTATGAAAGAGGATATTTAGCATTTCAAATTGAAATCAATTTTATTACTCAATGGGTCAATAGCAAAGTGGGACAGTTCATGCTCAGAGGTTGCTCAAGGAAATCTAAGGATTATTAAATGGAGGAGTGCTGAATGTATTCAACAAAGAAGAAGTTACAGATAGCGATTCTGAAAATGTAGAACTGATTGCAGAAATTACATAGACTCTCAGGCTGTTTAGTAAGACAGTTGTATTGTACTTAAAGTGCTACCTCAATACAATAAAGACTAACAATAATATTTTGTCATATAATTTCTACTGCATGAAAGGAGTTTGCTGTTTTGAAATTCAAATAATGCACTTTTTGCTGCACTAAGGCATGAAAACAATGTTACCTCTGACTTAGGGAAAGAGGAAAATTTTTCTCTGCAGTAAATAACTTGGAGTAATTGTGTTTTAAAAGAAATTCTAGGGATTGGTCTAGGAAGCTGACACAGCGTGTAAAGGCCAACACCAGTAAGAAACGGAAAGTCTCGCTTCTTTTTGATCACCTCGAGCCAGAGGAGCTGTCAGACCACCTTACCTATCTTGAGTTTAAGTCTTTCAGAAGAATATCAGTAAGTTTTTTATATTTATTTATATTAAGAAAATATGGGAAAGAATAGGAAATATGGCAGAGAGGCAGTAGTACAAGATTAACTCTGCCGTAAGAGATGTTGGACATGTAGAGTTTGTTTTCCAGACTTTTATTTTACTAGTATTGAAGGTGGCCAGTGTAACTTAGATTCTGAGTAAATACCCTTCTGCTGCAACCATATGTGAGTGGGAGAAGGAACTCAACTGTGTGAGAGCTGGGGCAAGATCAGTTGAAAGGAAGAGGAGAAAACCTTCCAGAGAAGCTCGGTTTGTTAGAACAAGGGATGTCATTGGGCACAAGAACAGGCAGCATCCTTTGACTCAAATCAGTAATCAGGCTGAAATGGGGTGAGGAAACTTGGAATATTCTCCTAGAATGCTAATCTTCTGTGGCTGTAGTGAACAGTGCAGCACTCCTGTGCGGTGATTAATTGACTGCACTGAAGATGGCCACTGGACTCTGCTTGCCTTTTTTGATTGTGCATAACAAAATAAAGACCAGAGATAAGAAAGCACTCTAGAAAATGCCATTTTTAATGTAAGGGGGTTAAACATATTTTATTATACAAGGTTTCATATACACTAACAATTTTTAAGGACTTATCCAAGATATTTTTTCTTTCATTTGATTTATTTTCTCAGTAATGCTTGTAGCTGATAAGATGCAAACTTCCCTATGCACCTTGGCTTCACTTGCATCATTGTATGCTACAACATTGCCTCTTTTCAAACCTGATACAGTTTACACTTGGAAAAGTGAATGTTAGGGACCAAAATCTGGGAGGGTTGCAAAGTCTGTGTGATAATAAGACTGAAGTGGTTTTTCAGTGGTTGTTTTTTTTGCTGTTGCTTGTTATTTAGTTGTTTTTGGTGGGTTTTTTGGTACCACTACAATATGAAGCTGAACCTATGCAAGGAAAGGGGCTCTCACTAGATGTGGAAGATTTCACAGTCATGTTTTTCATGTACTTTGTTTTGAGCTGACAGTACATGACTGTGTTTTGTGTTAAACTCAAAAAGCTGTAGAACTGAAGTCATGCACAGATTGCTGCCTGTAGGCAGTAATAATATGCAAAGCTTATATAACTTAACATTTTCAAAACCTCTGTGCTAATGTAAGGTAATTAATGAGTATAATAAGTATGGTTTTAGTCAGAGTGTCAGATGTGTCATGGAGTTCCAGCAGTTACATACATGTATACATTTTATATGAAGGGAACCTGCATATGTTTTTGTATAAATTGAGCTTACTAAGATTTTGTATCAGAGAATAATGCATAATTAATAATTAGCTATATTAATTAAATATTTGCAGAATATGTTGATGATGTGCAAGCTGCAGAATCCTTTGGTTATTCTAATATGGAATCATATACCAGGAGAAAGATTGAAAATGACCAGCTGTGTTATAAGTCCCTGGAATTTAAAGGCTTGGGCATTTAAAAGTCAGAAGGGAATATTTGATCACATACACAGCATACAGCAAAATCTTCCATGAGATACCATCCATCTTGCAGCAAATGAAAATGCAAGGAGTGGTGTTCACAGAGTAAGGACTGAAGGCATGCTGGTGCTTGGAAAGTATTTTAATCTTTAGTCATGAAGTACAGGGAGGCCACAGTCTTTTTTGTAAGAATCTGGATTCTGGATTCCTGTTGAGGCTCTTAAGTTAGTCATCACAATATCAGACTCTTGCAATATTTAAATACATAAACTACTTTAGTGTATCTGCCACTAACAAGCTTGTTACAGTTCACCTCAGGAAATTTGTGTACCACAATTAACTCAAAACTTTCAAGTAGCATTTTAGAGATTCATTTTTTCAGCATTTAAAAAAAACTTTTCTGAAGGAGATGACTGCTGAGAAAAAAAAAAACAAAACAAAAACTGATTCATAGTTGTACTGAAACTTCTGTGAAGTTCATAATTATGTAGTCAGATCTTAAAAATTATCTATCTGTATAGAGTAGTTGCTTAAATTTCAAGATCCAGCAAAACTTGGCTAGGTTCAAAATTCAAAGAGTAATTGTAATGTAAGTACTGTGTAATCTCAGAGACAGCTCTAATTATTACTAATATTTCTTCAATTTTTAATTTAATAAGGACAAATCGAAAGGTGTCTGCTGTCATCTACTTTTAAAGTGCTAATAATTCTTATTAAACAGATGGAAAAATATTATAAAGTTGCAAGAAGGTGAGAGGGGGAGAGTAAGAAACAAACAACAGTCTGACCTTTGCTTAAAGATCAGTGCTATTCCACATACTCCTGTGGAAAGGAATGTATGTCCCACCCTGTGAGTGGTTTTGGTAAGATGTTAGTGGTCATAGTAAAGAATGGCTGTAAAAATCCCTTGTCACATTTTCTGATGATTCAAATTATTGTGTATTTTTGTTAATGGATAAATCAACAGAATGGATAAAAATTGAGTCAACAAAAGCAAATTATTTCTTCTTTTTAGTCTTAATGTAAGAATTGCTTAAAAAATACATGTGTTACAGGTATCTACTGAACAATTTTAGATTGCCTTGATTAAATAAGAGAACCTCACAAGCTGTATTAAAAGTATTAAGGAATCTGCAGCCCTTACTCTTAATGGTCATATCTCAGTTTCATATTAATCCCATTGAACTTGCTTTTTGTATTAGTGTAGCTTAATTCAGAAGTGTGCCCCAGCTACAGAATACATAAACTGGACACTGAACTCCTTTAAACTGTTATTGAGTTATTAGGTTACAATTTAAGTTGTGTTTAACCTTCTCAATAGAAGTCAATGAATCTATGAAGCCACTGAGGCTGGGAGGAAAGCCCCAGTTCTACTCATCCTGGGGTTTATAAGAGCCAAGACTTCTGAGATACGGCAAAAAGAAGCTTTCAGTTAATTCAATTAGTGGAAGCCCCTGTTTTGAACTCAACAAAGCTTTTACAAAGGAAATATTTCAGTTTTATGGATAATTCAGGTATAAAAGATATAGTTTATATTTCATTTGCAAAACAGACCTCTGTCCACACACAGATCATGAGGCATATGAAACTACATGAGTTTTCATTTACGCTTCTTTTATTTGTTTAAGTTCTCAGACTATCAGAACTACATTGTGAATAGTTGTGTGAAAGAGAACCCAACAATGGAAAGATCAATTTCTCTTTGCAATGGTATCTCTCAGTGGGTGCAGCTAATGGTTCTCAGCAGACCAACACCACAGCTTCGGGCTGAAGTGTTCATCAAGTTTATCCATGTTGCACAGGTCAGTTAAAATCCAACATGTTTGGTGTTTATTTTGCTTTTCTCTGATGCAGCCCTTTTTTCTGCTCTTCCCATCCTACTACTGTAGGGTGAGCTGGGAGTGCTGGCACTGGTCTCCTGGTTCATACACACCACATGTGCATTTCTGTGTGTGTGCTGTCTTACCAAGTGTTCAGATATTACTGTCATGGCGCCAGCACTTTCTCATGTTCATTCTGAAGAAATTATTTTCACTGTAAAGCTAGACTTGCTTTTGAATCAGCATGTGAGATTCCCAGCTGTGGCTGTGAAGCTTTCCAAAGCATGAGCGACTCTGATGGCTTTGGCTGTAATTAGCAGCATTCACTAGAAACACCTTTCTGGATAAAAGGAGAGCTATGGTTCTGTTTGTATTCTTTGCATACTAATTCAACTGCAGTCATAACCAAGATAATAGGCAATGTTTCCTACTTGTGGTAGACTGTGAGAAGAAGGGGAAGTACTGAGAAAGTACTTTTAAGACTTACTGTATCTGAAAATCTAATATTTGATTTAATAACAGTAGAGTAAGTTCATGTTACACTCAATAAAATCACAGCTCATCATCAAAATACATGAAGTCAAATGGCACAAACTTGTAAGGCTTCAGAGGAAGACAAAAGAGGAAATTAAAATTTGGGTGTGCACACTGAACAACCTGAACCTTTAATTTATCTGTATTTTTTTTTGAATGTGAACACAGAAGCTCCACCAGCTGCAGAATTTCAACACATTAATGGCAGTGATAGGAGGTCTCTGTCACAGTTCCATTTCCAGGCTCAAGGAAACAAGCTCATGTGTTCCTCATGATGTAATTAAGGTTAGTATTGCTTCTCTAAGTTTTACAAATAAGAGAACCTTTAACTTTTTTGTCACTGCACACATTAAAAGTAATCTTACTTCATTGGATAAGATGGAAAAAGAGAACAAAAATTTCTTTGGTTTTGAAGAGTTTTTATTGATTATTTCATCTCTACATCACCAGTTACTCCTACACTTCTTACAACCCCACCTTTCTTCAAGACTTGTATAGATTCTCTAAGGTTTCAGTCTCAGATGTCATGAGCTGCATTTTCATCTACATGCAGTAGTACAGAATAATATTCAGACGTGAAAACAGAGAATTGGATCCTAGAACACTTGAAAACCAAACTGTTGTCTTCTGTAGTAACATTGATCATCCTTAATCTGTAAAATGCTAGCACAGAGCTCTGCACTTCGAGTGAAAAGACTTATTTTGTTCATCTGATTTTTCCATTTGGCTGGTTTTATTTCATTTAGACTTGAACAAATTTAACCCTAATGCAGACATAGTATGGTGGATTGTTAGGAATCTATTTAAATTTCCTGTTAAATTCTTGTGAAATATCAATGAAAGCTATTAAAAACGGAAGGAAGGTATATTTTTAGCAATGCTGCTTAAGCAGTCATGTGGCTTCTTAAGAGACTTCTTAAGAGAATAAGATACTTTCTTCTTTTTGGGCCTCAAAGAGTCCATGAAGGTATCTAATGAGCCTGTTTTGATCACAGTATGATCAGCCTAAATGAACAGTGCATACCTGGAGTAAGGACCTGAAATGTGACCTCCCACTGGAAATGCTTACAGATATCAGAATCTATAAAATCAGTTAGAGGGCTTATTTTAGAAACATGTTTTTCAAATTTTGTCATTTTAAGGTCTGCATGTGTGCACATCATTTGAATAACTTTTTGTTTAATGAAATTGTATACAGGTGCTAATAGAAAGCAGGTAAAAGTCTGGTAATTAGTGACTTGAAACACAATTCGAGGTTTAACTACATCAAACAGTTTGTAAAGGTTACAAATGGAGAACTTTGACAGGAATTTCCCAGAGAAAGCCTTAGTCCATTGCTTCTATCATGTTAATGAGTCAACTTTGTACCTGTATAATTTTCAACAAGGGAAATATTTATACTGCTAGACTGAATATTAATTTGGCCTTTATAAAAAAAAAAAACAACCCAAGATACTGTTTCTAATTAATTTCCATGGAAAAAAATTCTTTAAAAGACATGCCACCTTGAACCATAGTATGACTTCTGATCACACCATGATGGGATCATGGCACAGCACAGGATTTCACTGCCAGGATCTCTCCAGCAGTTCCAGCTGTTGTCCTGAAAGTCAGGGAATGCATTCCACATCTGAGTGTGAAAATGGCTGTTCTTATGAATGTCAAAGCTTGTGCTGTGCTTACACATTGACTGCATTCTGATCCCCCTGATTCAAGAGAATCATATTTCTTTTCATTTGACTAAATGGGGAGCATAAGGAGACCAGCATTATAGATTAGGCTATACATTAACCATCTATAATTACATATTAGTACCTAATTTATGGGTATAGGAAATCTAGAATACCTAGATTTCATTCAAAGTTTTAAAATTTTTTTCAAGACTTGTGAGTAAATTCCTTAACGATAATATGGGAAGTTCTTGTGCTGTGTGACAAAAACAGAAACAGTAACTAGTGCTGATTTTTTTTGTTTTCTTTTTATTTTTAGGTGTTTAATGAAATGACAGAATTGCTTTCGTCTTACAGAAATTATGATAGTTACCGACGTGCCTATAATGAGTGCAGTAACTTTAAGATCCCAATCCTTGGGGTCCACCTGAAAGACTTGATATCCCTTTATGAGGGCATGCCAGACTACTTGGAGGACAAAAAGATTAATGTGTACAAACTATATTCTCTGTATAACCACATAGATGAGCTGATACAACTCCAGGAAATGCCACTTCCCCTGGAGGCTAATATGGACCTTGTTCACTTGCTTACAGTAAGTATGTTAGATAAGATAAATACATCCAATTAAAAATGCCATATACCTATCAAATAACTAAACAGAGAATTCCACTAATTAATTAATTCTGAATACATAAGATTGTAATTTTTCCCCCAAAGGGGAAATGTACAGAAATAGAAGAAAAAAAATTGGTCATGACTTATGTGGCAGCAAGGGTAGAGGTGCCTTTCAGCAGTATGCTTCAAATTATTTCCATAAGGGAAGGAAATGTTTATTTCTGCTTCACTGTATTACTCTCTGTACTGTCAGTAAGGCAGATTCCTTGTGCTGAAAACAAAACCACACAAAAGTTCAGTCCCTCAAGATACTGCATTTCTAGCCTAGTCTCTTCTGGTACTTAAGGAACTGACATAAACATTAGTCAAATATAGTTGCTGTATTTCACTCCCAGTCATATCTAATCAGTGCCATGCTACTAAAAAATTAATACTACGTGGGTAATTGTTAAAGCTGTGGTTTTGGCTTCTACTAGTTAGTTAAAACACTACCTTCAATTAAAAGAAGTAAATCTTCCTTTCTTGTTTCTCAGTTTTGTTTGGCCTTAACAAGTATTTCATCTGGGAAAAACCAGGTAGTCTGCTTCCACTTTCTGGTTACAAGCCCTGTTTCAGGAAAAAGCTAATAGATAAAAATACTTATGTGCCTGACGTTATTTGTTCTGTCTGGCAACACCTTGTGTGAGGTAAAGCACACATGCCCAGAGTCTGAAATACAGCTATGTGAAATGGTGAACTTACTTCTTCCTGCTATTTGTTTTAAATGTTTTGTTTGAAATTATTCCAAGTATTTTTTTCTTCTAATAAAAACAGCTATTACAAATATTTAGAACTTTGGTCATAATTTCATGCAGGTGTATATGACAGGATATAAATGAGAAGAAATACTTCATTTCAGTGCAGGAGCTTCTGAACTCCCAATACTCCCTGTTACAGATTTCCAGATAATGGCAATAACAGTCTGTAATGTAGAGTTGGACACATTTCAAATCATTGTGAATGCTTGTGCAGCTCAAGTTCATTTCTTTTCTAGGTGTAATCAAAATTAATAAATAATGCACCAAAAAATATGAGTGCACTCCAGCAGCAAGTTTATAAAGTAGTAGTGACTGTTCTGGGATTAAACTAATGTGTTTGTTTTCAGCTGTCCCTTGATCTTTACTACACAGAAGATGAAATTTATGAACTTTCATATGCACGAGAGCCACGAAGTCACCGAGCTGCTGTAAGGGCCTTTACAGATTCTTAACAAAAGGAAGGCTTTTATGAGTGATTGTAATTTAAAACCAGGATTTTTAAAAGGAAAATTTTATCTCTTCCATTCAATTTAGTATTTTATTATATGCTAAATTGAAAACATTTTAGCTTTGTTGAGTGAGTGAAATCTATTAAAGTACAAATTGTTTGGTTGATGATGAAGTTTAAGATGGAATATATGGCAGAGTTTACACCGTATCAGGTTTTATAATATGAACACAAAGACAAATGAAGTTTCTGTATAGAGACATGACATCAGTCTTAATCTTGGCAGTTGATACTATTTTATTCAAATAGAGAATTCTTATATTATTCAAATTATGAAACATGTGAGTGTTATGTGGTAGTTTTGTTCTTGTTTTATTAATATGGAAAAGATGGTGATTTTACAGGGCTGTCAGTGAACTGTGACAATTTAAGGAATGACTGCTCTTTTGAACAATTCAAGGAAGAGCTTAAGCGCCATGTAGTTATCAAAAGAACAATGCTGGGTCCAACAGGTCATTTCTGCAGTCCTGTGTCACATAGTCCACTGTCACAAATGGAAGAAGTGTAATACTGAAAATCTTTCCATTTGGCACTAATGTGATATTTCTGATTTTTTTTCAGCCTATGACACCTTCCAAACCACCAGTAGTTGCAGACTGGGCCTCAGGAGTGGCCCCAAAACCTGATCCCAAAACCATCAGCAAACACGTTCAGAGAATGGTAGATGTAAGTAAGGTTGGCCAGTATATTTCATATTATTGTAAATCTTTATAGCCTTAATCTCAAGGTATGAGAAAATATGGGGATGGGTTTTAGTCCAGCCTGTGTTGACTTACCTATGTTTTGCTGCAAACCAAGAAATCATAATGCTTTTTTAATCTCAAGCAAAAAACTGCAGTCAAACTGTTGCACTGTTTAATAGACACTGTGAGAAGATGGGAGAGGAAATCCATAAATAATGAGGAGGCTTTCTAAAGTGGTAATTGAGACCATCCTCATTATAAACTATTATGCTGTTACCTTGCACAGTCTGTCTTTAAGAATTATGACCACGATCAGGACGGATACATTTCCCAGGAAGAATTTGAAAAGATTGCTGCCAGTTTCCCATTCTCGTTTTGTGTAATGGCTAAGGACTGGTGAGTACCATCTTATCAACTTTGTAGCATCTATTTTGGGAGACATTTAAGGGGTTTTGTGTTTAAATTGTATTTTATCATTGGGGTGTTAAAAGCATCCTCTTCAGGCACAGACAGAAGTGAAAACATAACTGACAAAAGCATCTTCTAAACGTTTTGTGAATGACATCTTCGTTGGGCTTACAGCAGTGGTATCCAAGCTCATTTAGAAGGAAAAACAGACAATAGAAAAATAAACATTTTTCAAATTATGTTCAGTATATACTGCTAAAGAATTTTCCTATGATAAAACTGTTTCTTAAAAACAGAGAATTGGCAAATATATATTTTGATAAAATCAGGAACATTTTTCTTAACATATTAGAGCATAGAAAAATACAGTAGTGATTATTCAGAGGTTTATACAGAGAATATCTGCATCACATATGCAGATATTCCATTTATCCTGTCAGTCTGCAGTTTAAGTGTGTAGATAAGCTTCTATATACTTTGGAAACAGTTGGCAAGATTGCTGAGATCACTTTAGCTTTTTGTGCATTAAACTATTGCTATTATAAAATGTGAAGAAAAAATGTTTAATTCTCCTTATGCATCTTATGCATTTAACAAAATCTATGTCTCACAAACAACTTTTCTTGTTTATTTCCAGGGAAGGTCTGATTAGCAGGGATGAAATAACAGCTTACTTTATGAGGGCTAGCTCAATCTATTCCAAATTAGGACTTGGTTTTGCTCACAACTTCCAAGAGACCACTTACTTAAGGCCCACTTTCTGCGACAACTGTGCTGGATTTGTAAGCTTACTTTTTAGTAAATTATGTTAACTTTCTTTGGAATTATGCTTTTCTTATCTCATAATTGCCTTGTGTCATATACAGAAATGGATCTATATAAAACATCAGTGAACACCAGACTTCTGCCTCTGTAGATGTTTAAGGTACCCTTTACTCCCCTCTTGGCAGTGCCAATATGTTTAAACATGGTTCATACCTTGTGGGGTTTGGTTATGTCACCAAAACCAGTCTCAGGCAAGACTTCTAAATGCAGAGCCTTCCACTCCTTGGGGCTGCTAGAATTCATGTTACAGAATTGATACAGACATCACTTGCCTCTGCCTATGGTACAGAAGGTTTAATAAAACTGTTATAAAATCCTACCAATCTGCCATTCAGCGATTGGTGAGATCAGACAAGGGTGCTGAGACAGCAGAATTCTCCATCTACTCCAGCTCCACAGCTTTTCAAGGAACTGCAAGATCTGCTGATGTATTCACTAGACTAGTTCAAGATATTTTGTTTGTCATTGAGACACATAAAATATTCTATTTACCTTATGCTAAAGGGGTAAATAGATCTATTTTGACATTATGATTAGAAGTGTAGGAAAGCAAGATATGCTGCAAGTGCTCAGATCTTAGAAAAGAGTGGAGCTTTTAGTGTATTTTTTATCTGGGGGTATCAAACATGCAGAAAAATTTATTAATACATAGGCTTTTTGTTTGTTTGAATTTCAGCTATGGGGAGTCATTAAACAAGGATACAGATGCAAAGGTAAAGTACTTTATACTTTGTTAATTTTAACCCATAATTTATAGGGAATGACAAAAACCTGTGATCATCCTGAGATCCAGGGCTATATCTATGGACCCATTTAATCTGACCTCCCAGGGAGGACAGGACTGATTCAAGAATAGTATGACAGAAGAAATGCAGAGATGAAGGAACTTGTAACTGACAGCTCTAATGCTTTGCAAGACATAACTGAATTCAGAGGATTTGTGAACAGGTCCTTGGACACAAACATCACGACTCTGTGAATGTTGTGCAGCACATTCCTAACATTTATTTTGCAGTTTTCTTCCTCATACAGGTATCAGCTTGCTCTGCAGCTGCTACAGTCAGAGCACTTTTGTGACTGAATGGTGCCATTTTGCACTTTCATAATGAAAAGGAGTTTTAGGCATGTATAGCAAAGGGATGTTGTGTTACAGGTAATGCACATAGAGAATACCAAAGGAGGCTGCTTGCTTCCCAAGAGGGCAGTGTGTCAGAGCTACCTTAGGTGCTACACCAGAGCCACTGAATCATGTAAACGTTGTCTTGTTTACAGACTGTGGGATGAACTGTCACAAGCAATGCAAAGACCTGGTTGTGATAGAGTGCAAGAGAAGACCCAAAACTTCAGTTGCAGACAGCAGCCCAACATCTGCGCTTGCTTCAAGCCTCTGCCCAGTAGGAGTTAAAGAACAATTCCATGGTGAGAAAAGACCATAATATGTAGATAATCTTCTCTTTCTTTGCTCCTTTTTCCTTTAAACCTGTTGTACACCATCCTTTTAGGTTTTGTGCGTTAACTGCAGGGTTTTATCTCCATGGAAAGTAGAAACAGGTGTATATTAGCTTGTATCAAGTAACACCATTCCTGCTCTAGACTAAGGCTGGAGTCCCTTTCCACATCTCTTGTCACACTACACAATGTATGGTGCACACATTCCACCAAATAATGAGTAAATCTTCTGCCAGACTCTCATGAGATCTAGATGCCATGTGACAGGAAGAGCTAACAGGCTTCCTTAACTCTCTCACTTTGTGACAAGCAAGTCTTGATTTTTAGCAAGTTATAACATTGACTACAGCACTGTTACAATTCTGACTCAAGTTTTAATATGGAGTTTTAAAGCCAATTTTCCTATGTATCTGTGTGCTAAGAAAACCAACAGCTAATTGTCTTTATTTTTTCCACTTCAGTAGCTGGATCTCTAACTCCTGTCCATCTGTCCATCTTCTGCAGAATTGGACATGAAAAATCTGCACCTCTCTGTTCTTCTCTCCTTATATCAAACAAACTCTATAACATTTTCTTTCTGTGTATTACTGTGCAGGCTTCCAAAGAAGGAATGTTGTCCTTGAAAAACACTAGGCTACTTCTGTTTCTATTTTGATTTTGACATTCCAACTCTTTGCATATTCACTCTTTTTGAATTTCTTTCCTGCTCTTTGCCTGTATTTAATGTCCTTCAAATCTGCTTCCACTCTGATTATCAATCTTTTGTGTTATATTTAAGACTCATACTGCTGGATTCCACCTTAGGCTTCCTGTTAGCACATCTGTAGAGCTCAGTGCAGCCCAATTCTCTTGATACTATGTGCACCTCTGTGATTGTGTCTGAAATGACTGCAGCACTACGTAATAACCACCTCTTACCCATATCAAAGTTTTTCTCAAGCTGACCTTGATGCCACACCTGTTTCTTCTTACTGATCCATATCTGTGTTACTGAGACAGGGCTAATAGTTGTTTCATGGGACAAAACATTGAGAAACTTCTAATGACACCTATTTTGGAGAGCAGTGAATGTAAAATCAGTAAGGAATAAATGCTTTATTTATTAAAATCATGTTTAATTACCATGCCTCCTGTTTCTCCTTTTCTGGGAGAAGATCTTGCCTTAATTGACCATATATATTTTAAAGGACAAGAAGAAGGATCATTCACCTTTCCTAATGGAGAAGTAGTGGAGCACAGTGAAGACAGCAAGGATCGAACCATTATGCTCATGGGTTCCTCAGCTCAAAAAATCTCAGTGAGACTGAAACCAGCTGTGATTCATAAAAGTACACAGACTGATCCTGTACTGCTGGCTGGTGATGTATCTCGTAAGCGGAGAGAGAAGAAAGAACACAGGATGCCAGAAAATCCTTATCTCCAGGCAGCTCCAGCATCCACATTTCCAAGCCCAATTCTAGGCCGCAGAAAGGCATTTGTTAAATGGGAAAACAAGGACTCCAGCCAGAAAATGAAGGAGGAGCATCACAGCTGCAAACCCTCATACCAGGAACTTGAGCAGGTACATACATGATGGAACAAATTCTGTTTTACACAACAGTATGGTCAAGTGGTTGATGTGTGGGGAGTGGCTGGGTGGAAAGGTGTCACTTTACTCCAGTGTAATTAATTCCCAATTTAATTGCAATTAAACAATCCATGAATAGCATAATAAAGTCTTAGCCACTTTAACTTCCAGCAATGCTTCATTTAAATGCTAAATTTTAGTTCTAGTATAGGGCTTCAAAGCTGTTGTTATGCTCACACTGATCCCTGTGTGTTCTAGAATGTGAACATAATCCAATCACTCAGGACAGAATGTTACTTCACAAAATGAGGAACATAGTTCTGAATTTCTTCTTGATTTTGGTGGCCTCTGCTACCCCAAATGACAGGATATATGGGGCTGAGAGGGTAGGGAGCTCTTCTTTTGTTCAACTGACAAGTGTACGGACCACCAAGAAATATTGCTGTGAACAGACGTGATGCTTCTTGCTACATTTCACCTGCATCAGCCCTGTTGTGTCTCAGCTTACTCTAAAGTGTTCTGACAAAATAGCTGTTCATAACACTGTGTCACCTCAAACATGGCCCAAATTCAGGTTTGTCCAAACACCTCTCCAGACAGGTTAAAGAGACTATTACAATTCCAAAGGTGCAAATAAGGGATAGATCCAGCTATAATTATGAGGAACAAAGACTTACTTTCATACTTTTTACTCAATATTTATCACTCTTCTAGGATCACAGTCTAATCTTTCAGTGATGACTGTAACTTTAAAAATATCCTTTGGTGCTGATAAAGTGAACTCATGTTATATCAAAGAGTGGTTTATTAAGACAAAGATTAAGACAATCTTCCAGTACAAACCACTTCCCTTTCAATCAACAGTACATTCAATACAACAAGGATGTGAAGCATAGATATAACTTCTAAAAAAGCATTCTTTAAAATGTCCCATTCATGTGAGCCCTATAATTTACACTTGCCCTTTCTCCCTCCTTCTGACCTCAATTACTAAACAGCAGATGAGGTTATGAATGAATGGCTTCTGGTACATCAATTTTGGCAGCAGTGGAGTGGTAAAGTGTGACCTGTGTTGTTGTTTCCCCAGACTGCTGTTGTTATGAGAGGTGCAGTGGGGGGTGGATAAGTGCAGGTTGTGGACATGACCCAGATACCAGTTGGTGGAAAGTTGTCAGAGCGTACACAAAGGGTAGAGCAGGGACTGTGGAAATACTCAGATAAGTTACTGGTTCTTTTGAGAGCTACATCAATTTATTTTTATGGCACTCAACCTAAATATACAACCAGACAGTCCTCAAAAAATTGCACTATAAAATACAATTACCTTTTTTTTTCTTGTTTGTTTAGGAAAGGAATATTCTAAAGGCAGACAATGAAGGTTTAAAGATCCAGCTGGAACAGGCACACAAAACAATTGAATCTCTCACAATCCAGAAAAGAAACCACGTAGTTGACAGTCTACAACACAGAGACTGCTCCTAGCAGATGAGAGGAAAATCTCCTATGGAATGGAAAAATGTAAGACTGAAAGAGAGGCTGTGATAAAGCTGCTTACCAAGTGAACTGGAGAGAGAATCTGAAGGATATTAAGAAGAAATGTTCTCTTTACTCAACACATTTCCCTTTTAAACATGCACTCCCAAATGTATAAAATAATTTTGACCTTGTAAGGTAATTTAGCATTATCTGTGCAATGGAAATAGTATCTTCTGGGTTTGCTTTTAAAAGGAATGAGAGTGTTGCTGAAGTCTCTGTTCACGTTGAAGACCATATTGATTTCCCAGTGACTTACTTGGCTGCCAGCAGCACGCCTTACTGTACAGATCTTCTGACAAAGTAGATATAAGACTGGGTCACCTCAAATTTGGCCCAACTCAGTTTTATAGAAACAAATGTGTGATAAAGCTGAGTAAGTTAAAACTGTAGAAAACCTATATTAAGAAAAACAATTCCTTCTTGGAGCTGAAACAAATTAAAAACATGAAGTGAACAGTCACATTTAATTCCAAAAATTTAACAAGAAAATTAAAGTAGCTAAGCTAATGATATTTGATTGATCCATACACTTTAAGATAAACTGACAAATTTTTAAAACATCTTTCAGAGCTTTAAAAGTTCTGCTGCTCAAACACTTACCTTTATTAAAGTAACGGAAGTGAGACTATAGACTTGGCATTGAATACTGCTTTCATGCCATAACTTGGAAGATTTAATTCCCCTTATTTGGCTTAAGGAGTAACTTGTTGTCCACATACGGTAGATATGGGACAAGGTTGATTTTATTTCTCTCATGTCAAAGTAGATTGTTGCCAATGTTGAGCAGAATCTTTAGAGCCATATTACAAGGGAAACTGTACAGCAAGCCCTGTGCAATAGCTACTGATTTCAGAGCTCCTAACAAGATTTCTCCATTTTCTCTCTCCTAGATTTCACATGCACTTTACATTAAGAGTCAAGATGAGTGTGCTCCTGTCTGTAAATTTTGTATAGTAAATGGTGCAGCGGAGGTAACTTAAAGACACAAAGTGTATATATTGTTAAGAGAAAATAGTCTTTCAAGTTACTGATAAATCTACTTGTCAAAATAGCTGATTAGAAAATTCCATTTGCATTCCAAGAGATCTGTACATTTAGAGCTATGTATTTGTCATCACACATACAAACACCATAAACAAAGTCCACTTAATGCTCAACACTTCTAAGTTACCAGTTCCATTATAGATTGAAATTCAGTCAATGACAATAGCATCTGTGCTTTGTGTTCAAAGTGGCAGAAAGACACATTCCATCCACAATTTACAGTCATTATCAAGCATATGAATGCTTTGTTTATAAAATTAATTTGAAAGTACTTGCCAGTTTAGTGATTCAAAATTGCTTGGAAATTGGATTGTGCTTGCAACTTCATGTATAAGTAAAAACAAATGGAGGGAAGGAGTAGTAGTAGTAGTAGATTTTCTGTAACATTACTGTAAATAACTGAAATGCATAGGAAAAAACCAGCTCTGTGCAGCTTTTTGAACTCATACACTAAACCTGAATTATTAACAAGTAACGTGGAATTGCACTTTGGTCAGTGAAGCAATCAGAATGGCTGTCAGGTCATGTCTGCACCCTTGGTTTGCCCATTTTCTGTGAGCTTCTTGATTTTGTCCTCTATTCAGGGAACTACAGCAAGGTGTATTTCTAATAGGCATTCAACAAATAAAAGTCTGTTTCTACAACTATTAAACAAGATAAAAAGTGGAATATATTTTCACATATTTAAAAAATGCCCCAGAGGAGCAGCTAAGACTCATAAATCTTGTTGTACAGCCAAGCTAAGTGCTCACTGGTGGTCTAAACTGTGGGTTTGAATAGAATTTGTGTATATACATATACTTTGTCTATGATGGAATGTGGTGATCATGAACAAAACCTTGTAATTTAAAGGAAAATTCCCTACTATCAGCAGCTGGCCCAAAGGCTACTGTGTAACTAGGTACTTAATACTCCAAAGTGAGTTATGACCACAGATTTGTACAGTCCTAAATAACTTAAAGTTTCTCTGTAAAGTTTGCTTGTTCAATCTGAAAGATTTAAAAGGGATCTGTATGCAGGAATGTCTTGCAGAACAAGTGTGCAGTGCTTCATGTGTGCTGAAAACTTCCTGCTTCAAAGAAGTCAGTTGATACCTGGATAACTTCAGAGCTTTATAAGTACCTTCAGGTTCTGTTTGCCCAAAGCCCATAACAATTATCTCCTTCTTCCTCACCCAACCCCCCCCACCCTTTTTTTTTTGTTTTTCTTTTCCCCGCTCTTTCTCTGAAGTGCTCTTAGTCCCTTCTTTTCTTTTGGGACGTTCTTTTTCCTGCATGAAAGACTTAACAGCGGAACCTGACTACAGGGAAACTGTTAAAACTGACAATGCTACGCAGAAAAAATGACTTGCCTTTGTTGCCTTTGTGTTAATCTTCAAGCTGCTCTATGTTAGGAAAAAGAGACACAATTAAAAGTGCTGTTTAGAAGTCATGTTATCACATAGTGATAGTGGAATTTATCTTGTCATGGCTAAGTCAAATGGAAAGGCTCACCTCTTCCTTCTCTAGGTCCAGCTCTACTTACAAGAAGGCAGAAAGAACAAGCACCATTCCCCATTTATTTTTGAAGCATGAATTCAGATTGTTTAAAGATAAAAGTAAATAGATTGAGTAATATCATAATTAACAAAGGCAGGGCTACTGTTTATATTCAGGTTAAATGCAATTGCTTTTAGATTAGCTCATATGTTTTGGAAATACATTTTTGTTCTAGCAGCATCTGTTAGTTTGTTGTAACTGATCTCTATGGCAACTTAAAAGTTTAATGCTAAGATTGAAAAACTGTACAGATTGTAAATATTTTATATAAATTGTTAAGATTTTGGTTTAATATTTATAATAGAAAAATATTAAAATTGCATTTCATGCTGCCTCTGATTTTGTACCTCAGAGAAATCTATACAAGCTATACTCATCTTTCTTGCCTGTTACCTGAGACCCTTCTGCAGCATTAACCTAGTACCAGTGTCTTAGACCAGCTCACCTTCTCTGAGCCTTGGAATGGTGCCTGGGAAAACTTAGGAAGCTAGGTATTTGCAGATTATTTGTTTGGTATTTTAGTGGCTGACACAGTAAAAACACTGCGCTGTTACTCACTATTCCAAGTATTATAAAGCATCCGTCTTTAGTATCATATTCTCTCACTTTTGTTAAGAATGCTAATTTTGAAAAGATTTCACAGCACTGTAGCCAAGTTGAAGCAAAGCTTTTGTTGTGTCTGCTAATGCTGCCTGTTGCACAGGCAGAACTGTAGCACCCTAAAGACCTCCTGTTTACCTTACAGTAAACTTCAAACTGGCACAGCCTAAATTGGTTTTTATATGGGGAAATGGGCATCCATTCTGTTATCTTCAGTCATGTCAGGGAAGACAAGAAGAGGTGAAACTCCTGTTTGTATGGCAAATCTGCTCTACAGTCTTAGGTAAAACAAGTTGTGGGGTTTTTTTCATAACTATCAAAAGTAATAAAATAAAACTTGAGAAGTAATTGGAGGGTATTTCTTTAGTTTACAAAAAGACAAAAACAGTGATCATATAGATCACTATGATTTTAAATTTTTTTTCAGTAAAATAAAATGTAACTGAGATTCTTTAGTAATCCCAGACAAAATCCCAGACTTGTGACATAGCTTTATAGAAAAATTTTAACAGGCAAGGTATCTATTGCCTTCTCATTTTGGTCAAAATACATGCTATTTCCATTACCATAAAAAGTAAGTTTCACCATTATTGTAAATCACCAGCAGGAATTCTTTCTCACAAAGGAGGAACATATGATAGTGGATCCAAATCACAATACACACAGATGATGCAAATAATTTCAAATACAGTGCTTTATTCCTCAGTGTTTACAGCTGTTGACAAAAGCGTCTCTCAATTCCTGAAAAAAATCCCCAACCTTTTTTTTCAGATCTTCAAGAAACAAAACCTTATTAACTTAGGTATTCATTAAATGCAAATAAACACAAAAATGTTCACCAACATATATATGAAAATCTTTTACTTACAACAGAATTTTTGAAAATATGTTTTTTTCAAGACAAAACTTGAGGTTTAAATCAATTACTTTCATGGTGTTATTGCATTGTTTGAGAAATAAAAGCATACATTCTGACAAAAGGACAGCAAAGGATACCTCCATGAAATATGGTGGTGCTTACTTTATTTTTTAACTACTGGCTTCACATTTTGAAGTTACTGAAGAAAGACTGAAATGGATTAAAAAAGAAAATCTCCAGCCTATTTGTATTTCCATGTTTTACATGATCTACATACACCTAACTGAAATAAGATATTGAAATAATTTAACTGTTAGAATTGAAGTGGGCATGTACCTGCTTCACTTGATGATTTACTTCATACAGAACTGTCCTGCCTACTAACAAACAGGATAGACTGATGAGTATAAAAACACCAAGGCACATCACATCTGTAGTTACAACAATCCAACTAAACTGCTGCAAGCTTGCATCCTAAGACTAATGAAACCTTTAAGCATAGATAAGTTGTTTGTTTTTCCAGGTGTAGTTCCTTGATGAAGCCACATGCTCGACTGCTGATTACTTATAGCAAAAAGAAACACTGGGATGAGCAAACAGAATTTAATCTTAAGGCTTTGGTTGTTGAAAAGCTGCTCTCATTTGGAATGTCATTGGTCTGGGAGCTGTTCCAGAGCATTAGGCAAAAACCAAGCACAGCATCCAGAGAACCAATACTGTGCTCCCACATGACCCATGAGGGGTCTCTCCATAACAACTACAGAGGCTGCCAAGAGCTTTGGCCAGTAAGAAGCATGGAAAAAATTTGGCAAAGGAACTACAGTGCTAGGAGTTGGGTAACATTAAGCCATTATTGCAAAAGTTCACATCCCAGCTAACATGTTACAGGAAGCAAAACTTCTGCT